GTCAACTCCTGTTACCACACGAGCCTTGGAAGCGCATGTCTCTACAAGATATGGGGAGCACCGCGGTAGGACCTTGTGAAACCACTGACTCAAGAGATCAAGAATTATTGTTAAGCAGTTTAAAAACAACTTTACAGAGCCAGGAATTTCATGCATGCCAGACCGCTTTCCCCACTGTTACCGCGCGTTGAAACGTTCTGCCAACGGCGTTAGGAAACAGCAGAAGAGAAGTCGTTCTGCCCACCTCCACGGCTCTACATGTTAACGCAGGATTCGAGGGCGTGCTGGGAGGCTGCTGTGGCCCCTGTGGCCCCAGCGGGGAGCTCAAAGGGGACAAGAGCGAAGACATCCCTGCAAGACACAGACGGAGGCAACAGCTTTAAAAACCGGCCCCGGAGCGGGCAGCGACTGCGCGGGCTGCCTCATGCTACTTCATGCAAAGCAGGGGCCAGGCGCGCGAGGGCTCCGCGCAAGCCGGGAACACAAAGCAAGACGGGCTCGCATCCGGAGGCAAAGCGATACAGAGGGCGGAAAGGAGAACCGGAAAGGCCAAAATAAGAGGGGAAGCAGCAAAAAAAACTGGAGAATTGATTGAAAGGCACAGCTGAGGGCTTAAAATATGTAGGACGCTGGTGACAGACACAGAGACCCTCTTACCTTCACCTTGTGCCCTAGTGGGAGGATTCTGAGGTGGACTGGTTAGATGGGCAAAACCCGAGTGCCCAGGCAGGGGCACAGACTGGAGGAGTGGCGTAGGGGTGGGTTCTGGCTGGGTCAGAGGTGACTGGAGCAGGGGCAGAGGACTGAAATGCGAGTGTGGGTCTGGGGCCGCCTGCGACAACGCGCTGCCACTAGACGGCAAGTGCGAGCTCTGGGGGTGTCTGACTGCTTCCTGCAGCGCGCTGGCAGGCTCGGGCGGCTGTGGGGGCGAGTCTGCCTGCAGTGAAGACACCCTGTGTTTAAGAGGTAGGGGCGTTGCTTTGGCACTAGGTCTTGACGGTTGTGGTGGCAGTCTGGTGTGTAAGGCTAAAAGGAAAGTCAGAAAAAAATACTAAAAACCCCACAAAAAGAAAGGACACCCTTCAAGGTGGTCAGTAAACGGGCCTGCAGGCCAACTGAAACTGACAAAACAACAACAACCACCATTTTTTTTTTACAGAGAAAGGAAAGTTGCAAAAAACAGATCTAAAGTAATTTTAAGAAAAGAAACACCACAAAATAGATGGTTCTATGAATCAATGGAATATAAATGCTACTTTCTTTATAATTGCTTAATTGAAAAAACATTTATCAGATTCAATTAAGACAAAGTCATACCTGTACATACGGTATAAGTCCAACTGCAGGAAACCACTTACAGTAGCACTTAAAATTGCCTCTTTTAAGTATTAAGTTCTCCACCACTTAATGAATAAGCCTCATATCTTGGCAACACGCTCTCCCAGCACTTCAGACCCCAGACTTCCTCCCTCCATGATAATCTGTGGGGACTCCGGTGGGGGAAACTTTCAAAAGCAGTTGTTACCTGGAGGTGATACAGTTATTTCTTCGTGCTCCAGAGGCTGGGAGGTGTTTAGCTCTGGTTGTTTCGACTGTGTTACTGTGGGCTGCGAGTTGCTTTTAGTCTGAGGTTCAGTGTGCCTCTTGATAGCAGAATTCCACAAAGAAGTGGTCATCTGATTTACCTCCTGTTTGAAAATATACATTATATTCTAAGGTTTCATCTTAAAGCAAGCACATTTGCCACATTAAAATATTTACAAATTCTTTCGTTGTTTTTACGCCATCAAGTAGATGACCATCTTCAAAATTTGTCTTTAAAAAGGTACACATTCCTAGCACACCGACATTAACAGTCCAAGCTACAGATTACACGGAATCCGTAGCTCAGTTTGTTTACCTTTTTTATAATTTTGACATCAGTGATGTCTGTGTTGCTTTGCTTCATTTTTTTCTGTTCTGTAAGAAAAAGTGGAACAATTAAGTTGCGTTCATCACATTACAGGCAAAGAAATCTGTATTGTTTGGACAGATCACTTCAATATAGTAAAGGATAAACTTAGCATTACATTTTAAACACTTGTTTATACGTTTTCACAGATGAACTTCAAAAGATCAAGGAGAAGGTGTGAATTCATTCATTTTAACCTTGAAAAAGGAAGCATGACTCTCTTTGGGTAATGTTTTGAGGTTTTTATACTATGAAGCCTAATAAAACATGTTTGTCTACTACAATTTATTTTCAGTACCGCGAAATCTTGTACTTAAAAGCAAAACCTTTAAACCAAAAACATTTATGTAAAAGAATGGAGGAATGTACAGACCCACTATCCAATTTTAAATCTCGGGTATTAATGTCTAGAATTACGAGATTAAGATGGTGGTGAAGTTTGTCTTGTTAGATCAACATTTGAAGGGGGAAGGGATATTCTGTATATATTTTTCAATACACAGCATATTCATAAGGTCTTACCCAGGGTAGTCTACAATACAAAGTTGGACTTGCCGAAATGAGATTGCTTTAGAACAGCTGAAACTTAAAACAAACTACACTCAATGCCAAATGCCCAGTCAAAATAAAATAAAACTTACCTTCAATTAAAACTAAAATGGAATGTATTCATTTCACTGTCTGTGCTTTTTGATCTGGCAATCAATTTTCTCATATTCTATATCATGGTCTGTTTATCGTGAAAAATGTAACTGAAATTAACTAAAGATAATATCTGGGCACCAATGAATGTGATGATCCTGAAACCCTTTGTAGTATGGTTTGGATTCTTGAAGTCTACTAAGGGGAAAACCACTGTCTGAGTAACAAAAACATTTTCTCCACGAAAGTCTGACACCTAATTTTTAAAATGTAAGACAACAATGATCTTCTACAAAAGTTGTTTATTTGAACTTCTGGGTGTTGAACACCAAGGTGTAGGAGTAAACTGGTTACCTTTTTAGGTAAAAATGAAACAAAAACACTTAAGCTACAGAATGCAGTTCTGTGCAGGACAATTACTGTAACCTACAGTATTAACTTGGTCCTACTCCTTCACTCCCTGCATTCAGTTTACAATCTAGTTGAAAAAAGAAACAAGTACAAAATATATATATATACGTATAAACAAAATATCTGAGAACATTACAAAAAATGAGCATTTACAAATAAAATTTCTTACAAATACCTAGTACACAATTTTATACAAATTTCTTTAATTACAATTAAAAATCAATTAAATGATTAGTAAAGCTACAGACTGAAAACAATTTAAGCTTTAGTGCTGCAGTTAAAACTGAGAGCCAGCAAAGCCTTACATGCAGGGGTTGAAAGAAAGAACAATTCACAACATTTTAAATATTAACTACAAAAATAGCTTATTTTTCCTGTGATACACACAGCATTATGATTCTAAAACGCAGTACATGGAAAAGGGAAATAGTGTGTTACCTTCCTCAAATTCACTTTCAGATGCTTGGACATTTGAAACCAAAAAACAAGACTACAGGTATCTGCAGCCTTCACAAGCATAACGCCAAACTAATGGCAAAAGCTGAGGTGTAAAAACTTGTGATATTTGCTGGAGTGCTGAGGACGCAATTGTCCTGCATGGCTGGCTAGCTGGCCCCTCATTTCAAACTTTGCACATATTCAAACTATTGTCCCTTCACGCAAAAAAAGATACAGTAATCTTAACCACAATTTTAACATGAATAAAACAAAAATATAGCACCCGATACATATCTAATGGACAAAAAAAAAGAAGGAATTTAGGTTCCACATTTCAATTAAAAAACATAGCTTATCTCTGAAGAACTACAGGTAACTACTGCACTTAAGAAAATGTAACAGAGGGTGCAAAATAAATTTGTACCTGTGCGGGTATATATATAAAAAAACAAACTCAAAACGTACTTTGATTTCAAGTATTTGGTTTGCCAGCAGGTTTAACCGTGACATATTCTGCTTAAGGGATGCATCCAGGTAAACAGGTTTTGCTTTCGCTCCTTAGTAGCAGGGAACAGGGGAAACAGTCCTGGTAATAAAAGGCGGGCGCACTTTGATCGACAGGTAAGTGCTGAAGAGGACATCTAACCTGATTCAGAGTCACTGCTATCAGAAGTGCTAGAATCACTACTACTGCTGTCAGAGCTCGAGGAGCTGCTGCTGTCGCTCAGCTGAGAGGGTCCCTGCAGTCCCTTAGGGGGGGCCACCTCCTCACCTGTGGGGTAAGCAAGAACCAGTGAGCACAAGGACGCAGGAGGACGCGGACGGGCGCGCAGGCGGAGTCAGAGGCCCAGCACACGTACATTGAGACTTGGGCTTCTTCGCCGGGTTCAGCCGCTCGCCCACGTGCTGCAGGCGTTTCTCAAGCTCCTGCTTCTTCTCCGACTGCAGCGCTTCTTGCGACTTGCTGGATTTTTTCTCTACTCCAGAAAGGAACAGGAAAAAAAAAAAGGGGGCAAAAAAACAGCCATTAAGATACAGTGCTCGCGTGCAGGTGGCTCCTGCTCGGACGGCGCGCCGCGCCCTGTGAAGCGTGGGGTACCGCGGCGCGGGGTGCACATGCCAGGCGAGTCTGAGCGAAGGACTTACGGTTCGGCTTGCGCGGTCGCTTTCTCAGACAGGTCATGACGTATCTTTCGAGGGCTCTCAGCGTCGAGGGTTTTAAGGTTTCAAAATCTATTTCAATCTCCTCTGGATTGGAGTCTCTCAGCGTGGGTTCTCTCGACTGAATGATATTAACGACCTTTCCAAGCTTGTCGCCAGGAAGCTTGTTAATGTCCAGACTCAGCTGCCTCTTCTCATCGTAGGTCATGGGGAGAGCTGGCTCCTCTTCCTCTGCATCACAGGGCATGCCCGGCACCTTGCTCTTCTTACTTCGGGCACAAATACAAAACACCCTTTTAAAATGGCAAAAACGCCTCATATGAAAGAGCCTCAGGACAAAGGCTCTTCTCATAGCACAACGTGCAAAAAGATTCTCTCAACAGAATAACTTACCTTTCCAAAGATCCCTTACTGGACATCTTCTGGGCTTTCGATTTTGGCTTCTTTTTGTCCCCATAACCTTTTTTTCTTGACAGTTCTCTTCTGTCTCTATCTTTCTTCCTCTTCTCCTTCTTTGATTTTTCTTTCTTCTTCTTCTTCGGTTTCAGCAGGGGAGCCTGGGACAGTAACTGCAGCTGGTCTCGCACAGCTTTCAGCTGCAAGCCAAATTAAAATTCGTGAAAGTTTCTCAATGGCTGCATTTGTACCCCATAAACGTAAAAGAAGCTGCCAAACCACAAAGGTTGCTGAAAAGTTAAGATGACTATGCTTTATTCAAACGCTTCTCGGTTCAGAAAAACCACGAAGGAAGGAGAGGAAATGCACCTATTTTCTGCTCTTTCACACTCATGTAAACACTACTGTCCCTCAGTTCAAACTCAACCCATCTCCATATCGGCACTACAGCCATTACTGGCACTGCTCTTCCTTCTGGCTTCCGGGCCCTGCAGTCTGGAGCAGACAACAGCTGCTATAGCACAGTTAACTGGCAAACAGGACTAGCTCATGACGAACACTGGCGTGCTCCCCGGTCTGGGGTACCTGCTCCTGCAGCTGAGCTAGGCGCTGGGCTCTCTCCTCTTCCGCGTCCGAGGAGCTGTCGGAGTCCGAGGAGCCGTCGCTGTCGCTGTCGCTGCCCGAGGAGCTCTCCCTCTCGTCTGGCACGGGGGGCGCGGGGGGCGCCCTCTCCGCAGCCCCGGCCGGGATCTTGGCAAACCGCATCTCAAACACGTCCTGGCAAGAGAAGACAGAAACCCCGAGTCATCGCAAGCCCCTCTTCTGAACTGCCAACGTTCAACGGCAGCATTCGTTAAGAATTAACTTTGATGAAAGGCCCTTTAAACAATGAATTTCAAATTAGGAACACAAAAATAAAAAACACACATAAATCGGACCGGGTCTGACGAAAGAAGATCCAGCCTTTCGAACAGCATGCAAAACGCAAGCACCTAGGACGTACCTGAAGTTTCCTTGCCATTGCCACAACCTCGTGGCCTGGAGGGTTATATTTGTAGCAATTCAAGAACATTAACCTAAAATCTGAAGCAAACTCTTGGGCATCCTTATAAACTCTGTCATCCATCTTTTTCTAGAAGTAAAACAAAAAACAAGAGAACAGAACACAGTTTACCACTTTCTTTCTTAACAACGCCAGGCCAAAAAGAAAAACGACACTGCCATCAACAACTATGATACATACAACTGGATTTTCAGTCAGCTATATCCATTTCCAAATAAGGAAGATTTTACTTATAACAGGACCAGAAGCCGACTTCAATTCAAGGTTCGCGTTTTAGAAATTGGAGAGAGTTAAGTAAATACAAAAAAAAATCCAGTTGATGTCTTTACCAAGAACCCTACAGTGATTAAATGCCTTTAAGTAAAAGGAAACCAATATGAAGTCCTAGATGCTTAACATCAGGCTTCAAAGGATTGCAGCTAATTAGCCAAAACCCACATAAGTCACCGATTTCGCAGTCACACAAGGATTTCAAAATCAAGTTTGATGGCTGCAGATCCATTTATGTACAAGGAAGACCTGTCAAGACCAACTAAGAAGCAATAAGTAATTTTTAAATTGACCAACTTTTGTTCAAATGCACATTTCTGTATCAAGCTTGCCATTCCTTCACTAAAAATACAGTGCCTTCCAAATGTATTGGGTCAACAAAGCCATAACTTATTTTTAACAAGATGCTTTCATCAAGGAATACAATAAACATTTTAGTTGACTGTAATTACATCCATGCATTTGAGCACATCATAGCAAAAATACACTTGTGTCCATCCAAGGGGCCATGAGTACTGGGGCACGTTCCCTTTCAGTACATGCTCCTTTGAGACAATAACTGCTTCAGTTAGCAACCTACTGAGCTCTCTAGGTTTTCTTGCGCTGTTTGGTCTTACATCTGTATCAACTGCACGTTCAATGGAATTCACGTCTTGAGGTTGCTGTGGCCATTCCAGGATTTCCCTCTT